AGGCAGCATCACTTCAAAGCTTTCGACAGAAAATTAAAAGCTATAGTGCTCTTCCCTCTAATACTGACCAGGGTTCTATCGCGAATCCTACCAGTGGTTCACAATCCGCAGGCAAGCCAATGCGCCGGAAATCAGGTCGAAGCGGTGTACGTGCCGATGCGATGCACAAACGTGCTATGAAAGCTGAGCGTGCCTCAACGATCTCTGCGGCGAAAAATGAACGTCGCTCTGTTCGTATTGTCCCTGGAATTGCGAAACTTCTGGAGAACATCGATAATTCCCTCTTGGCGATCGGCAGTCTTGAGCTGATCGAAGGCGAGCCAGACGTATCTAGTCTGATTGAAGCTAAGCGATCCTTCTACAACGCCATGTTACTTACGCACCTCGCGCGTGCATTCTCTTTACACGGGCTATACGCAGAAGCTTTACTTTTGCACCAGCGTGCACAATTGTATGTTCGACAGACGTCTCAGGCTTTAGAGCTAGCCGAGGGTGCAGAAGATCAAGATATACAATTTGCACCAAAATTGCTGCAAGGAAATGATGCTCTGGGTGAGCTGAAGACTAGCTTGAACAGCGCGCGAAAAAACATCGAGAAATCCCTCATTAGCTCCAAGAATCATGGATCTATCGACTCGCTTAAGGATACCAGATCTGGACAAACGCTTTACCGTTACGCGCAGCGGCATGTTTCGTTTGATTCTGATGATTTAGCTTTGGCTCTGAAGCAGGCTACTGCCCGCGATTTGCCCACGAACTCGGATATGGAAGTGGATGAATCTACAGCTAAGGCAGCTGCCGACTCGACTGAATCTACTAAATCTAATGAGTTCACTCAGGAATTGGAAAAAGGAGCTTTGCTTGGTGCCTATGACCCTATCAATGCACTTCTCGAGCAAGAAGAAGAAGCCCTGGCTAAGCAGCGATCGTCTGGGTCTTGGCTCGGAGGCTGGTTCCGTAGAACATAACGTATGAAGCCATTGTTTAGTCATCGTCATTGAGTTCCTATGGCGTGAACCACGTGCGTAGTTCCCGCGTTTTCGACTACTTTTCAACTCCTCTCGGCCTAAAATCTCGGCCGCTATCCGCCACTACCACCGAGTTGCGCCTGCTCTGAGCCGAGTTGGTCTGCCATCGGCCGATTGAAAAGCCTCCACCCAGAGCTGAACACGAACAGCTCGACGCGTCGAGGCGCGACGCAAGCTGCATGGCCATTTTATCCGACGTATCTCACGGTGTATCTGCTGAAGGAAGCAGTGGTACCATGAGTCGGGACAACGTAGATTCTCTTCAAGCGCACGCCTTACCTCCGGGCGTGCAGAGTGCTCAAACATTCACAATGGGTGATCACCCTAGCCAACACTACCACTCTGTTGACGCACTGTCTTCCAATGTTCTTCCCGGCGCAACGCGTGAACGACTTACTGGACATGAACCGCAAGGAAAACCGCCGTCAACAAAACGGCGAAAGATTAATACATGTTTTCCTTGCAAAAACCGCAAAGTGAAATGCGATCGACAGCAACCCTACTGCGGACAATGTCAAAAGCATCGAATCCCCGCTGAACGCTGCGTTTGGTCTGCAGATATCTCGATGGGTTCCGAATTACACCCTCATGCTGGTATGAGTTTCTCCAAGGACGGGGCGCATACCTTAAATCTTCCGAACGACTGGGCTAGTGCGCACGGACACGAACTGGCTCTAGACAATGACACGCGCACGGTGGTTGACCGCATTTCCCATCTCGAGCAGCGCCTTGGTGGGCCTTCTTCTCAAGCTTCTTCGCACGATATGCACAACGCCGCGACCGGCAGCCAGATCGACCCTTTATTGTTGGGCACCACATTGGCTCTGGATGTCAATACTGACCGTCACAATGCATCTTTACCGCAAGATTCTGCGGTGGTCGCTGAGCTAGCGTTCTGGCGCAACAAGATTGAACAGCAACAACGTGCAGTTCAGAACAACGAGGGGAATCCTTTGACCATGCAAGCCGAGCCAAACATGGCAGCTGCAGATGCTTTGGCGATGTTTGCACGACACTCCCAGCAAGGAGCATTAGGTAGCAATGACCAAAGCCTGCACCGTGCAGGTTCCGTCGCGGCAGACATGCAGGGATCGAGTTCTGAAGCGGAAGGCTCGAGATCGAATATAGTGAATGCTTTGTTGGACCATGCGGCATTTAACACCAACGCATCACGCATCCGTACAGCACTTGATATGCTCCCTGACCAACAGCAGATGGATTATCTCTTAAGAACCCTACAGACGGTCGATCTGCATGTTTCTTATGGAATCAGTTGGCGTTTGGTTAATATGCAATTGGCCAGTCTGCGATCGCAACTAGCGAGTTGGAACCGGATGCAAACCGCTTTACCGGAGCATCTGGACCTGTCCTTTTTGTCTCTGTTGTTGATGCTTTTGGGTCTTGCAGCTCGATACTGTGAATCGCGATTCTTTATCGAACAAGCATTTTGTACATCTGTTGATCAGATAACAACCCTTGTCGATGCATGGGTCGATTCAGCACAAGCTTTAATGGCTATGGATGATTTTGTGAACAAAACCAATTGGAACCATTTGGCAGCGCTACTCTTAGTAGCCAATCACCATGCTTTGCGCGGCAAGCTTCCGCTTTGCCTCACAACTGTCGCGATGATGGTCCGCCTCGCTGAGCTACAAGGATACCATAAACTAGGCTCGGCGCGCGAAGACCAAGACACATGGTCTCAAGCGCCTACCAGCACGCAAGTCCGTCTTTCTTCTGTGGTCGGTGTACCTAACTCTGACTCTAGTCGGTCCGAGACACTGATCAAACCGTCTATCAATATGAGTTGCACTCTACCTGACCGCTCGCATCTGGTCCGCGAAGCAGCTCGCCGCTTATGGTACAAGATCGCTTGCGAGGATCTGGCCGTGAGCACGGTGCTGAACCGATCAGCATCGTTTGATGCCGCAGGTATGACTACACAATATCCATTAAATATTGATGAGGAAGATCTGCCGGACAGTGAGACACATGTTCTTCCACCTGCTTTGGAGGAAGGACGCGCGACGATCAACAATCTCACTCCTTACACTTTCCAGATCGCCCGTCTTGGAAGTGAACGGATTTCAGAAGCTGCGAATAAGACGCAATCCTATGATCTAGTGCTTGAAATGGATGGCAAGTTGCGACAGCTGCTCTCTTCGCTCCCGATCTATTTACGTCCGGACCCTGCTTTAGAGCAATTGCCAGAAGTACGACGAGAGCAATCTCAACGTCCGTATCTCGCAATGCACCGCCTGATCATTTTCGAAGCAGTTAATCATCAACTGCTGATGCTACACCGCGAATATATGTGTAGAGGTCATCATGAGGAGCAATACGCGTCTTCTACCCGCATAGCCGTGGACGCTGCGCGTACCATCCTTTCTTGCCGCCAACAAATTGATAATGTGCACCCGTCCGTCCAACGTCATCCGATCTTCCTTCATCACCTCTTCCAGGCGGCTACTGTACTTGCACTCAACCTCAAGAGTCTGGTTCGCGATGGGCAGGGCTCTTCGCAAGTCGCACACCAATTACGTGATGATCTGTCCCTTATGCAGAACTACATTGCAGAATCTAATGACGTTGCTGGTGGCCTCGCGATACAATCGCCTCAATCGCACAAGATTGCCTTCCGCTTGCTGGATTTACTGCTTGCTCAGGAGGGAATCACGCAGTCCAACGGAGATTCGTCGCAAAAGGCAGAGCCGTCCAGCCCTGAGAAGAGTATGCAACACTCTATCAGCGGAATTGGGATGAACAACGGCAGTGCAGGCAATAATCTATTTCAGATTAGCGCAAATTCCTCAAATTCTGACGAGGTGAATGAATCTGCTAAGGCGCTAGCCTCGCACATGCTTGACGCACAATTTGGCACAGATGTGATGCCTACCGAATTTTTTGCGTCGTTGGACGAATTAATGGTACCCATCTATTAGAACAGATACTGTACTGTGTGTAGAAAACAATCATCATCGGCTTATTACGCTTTTAAATATATCCATGCTTGTGTAGCGCTTGTATTATGCTGATCACTTCCAGCCAGTTGTCCACTTGCACGAGGTTAGGTGAAAGAGCAAGGTTTACGCTGAGTGCGATGTGCCATTCTGAAGCTGGAACTAAGTTGACGGCAGACTTTATACCTTGCAGTTTGGCTTTCAGACTAGCGTTCTGGCCCATCACGATGCCCACATCCGCTTCGAGCATGCAAGCTAAATCATGCATACTATCCCCAACATAAAGTATAAAGGGACGAATAGGATAATCTCCCAAAATTGAGCGAAGGACCTGTCTCTTATCTTCTCCTGTTAACAACAATCGTCCATCAGGATATGGCCCGATGATTCGACCGGTGGAATTCTCGGTGTCGTCCATCAGCTCAATTTCATTGGCATGGATCTCTGTTACCCCAGCCCTATCTAGGTCCGTATGGTCCGTTTTAGAATGCTGCTTTCCTTCAGCAGCGAGCAATGCATCTAAAATAAAGCGCCTGGACCAATTTACACTCAGGATATGAATCGCGATCGTGAATGGGTTTCTTTGTTCACAACTCTGCAAGAACTCCTGAAAATCTTGCCAGCCATTCCGGAAGACTACTTCCTTTGCGCGCGAGCTTCGGTTAGACCGTTTGGTTCCTTTGAAGAGACCACCATCCATGATCTCATTCATGGTTGTCAACTCTACATGACGGACTTCTTTGACAAAGGCGGAGAGTTGGTGATCGTTCTGAATAGGCCCAAAATCCGTTCGAAAGTTCTCCGTCTCCCTATTATAGACTTGTTCGTAATGCGCAAATGGCTTTCTATCTTGCGGCAGCTCGTGGCTACCCGGTGCAACGAGACATAAAGTGTCGTGGCAGGTTATCGTCTCGTCCCAATCTGAAACTATGAGCAAGGACTTGTGCGCCATGATGCGCCGACGAGTCCGCAATAGAATATAGTAGCATTCTGTGCACCTGAATTTACCAAAAGTCCAATAGTTTAACGGTTATGACGTATCCTTCACACCAGTCGATGATACACCAACTGCTCGGATAAGATCCCGGTTCGATTCCGGGTTGGACTACTTTTTTAAGAATTTTTTTAGGACTGTTCCAAATGAACTTGAGAATAGAGCGAAATACTACACGACGAGGTATCGCAAACGTTTAGAAGTTCTAACATGCACTATACAGATTACTTATGAGTATTTACAGATTGGTCGTTGTCAAAATTCACGCCCCTTCCAGCTTCTGTAGATAAGGGTCATCTGGGGATGTATCATTGTGGAATTGCAATTTGCCGTCATGGAAGAGGGATTGGGCTGAGACCACCGTAAGCTTTTCGGACTCATCCGTTGCAGCTTGAGCTTCGGCATGATTTGGCTTCCACCCACCTCCAACGCTTGCACCGATAAAAGCCGGGACAATAGCCAAAAGACTTTTGGGATGGATTCCTTGATCGCGCATCATGCGTTTGTTCCCCTTCAAGACTAAGTTACTGGCTCGCAATCGACCGCCACGGATACTTGAAAAGGCACCAAGCTGCTGTGCGAGACGGCCTATGGCAGGCTCGTTCCAGTCGGTGTAATAGGTTTCTGAATGAGTCTTTTTCTCTTCGACTTCCGCTGCGGGAGAGACGGTGGGCAATGCTTCAGGATCCGGCAAGAGTTTCAGTCTAATCAGCAAACGCTCGATTGGTTTCGAGGGACACAGGCGCGTTGCCAGACCTAAGGGCCAAGAGATGAATCCGGCAACAATGGAAATTGCCCAATCGCGTCCTGATAAGCGAGTCACACTGAATGTCGCGCCTCCCACGAATATAATCAAAATTTGTGCACCGACTTCAATGCCGAGAATCAGCAGGAACCAAATATTACGATGAATATTATGGAAGATATTCCAATAACGATCCAGTCGACGTGCGTTGACCTGGTTGAACAGCTGACACCAGACAAACACATTGAAGATCAGAGCGCCCAATTCCAAATCGTTGTTGCGCTCTTCCAATGCATCACGATGATTCATATGCAATATGCTCTCCCCACGGAAATTCAGCACAAGAATCAACACAATCTGATACACACTCTGTACAAAGATCTGCATCCACATCTCCGTAGTAACCAAAGGTGCAGTCCAACGGTCTGGCTTGCGTTTGAGTGACTCTGGATCCGCCGGATCCGTGGCTAAGGCTAGTGCAGCAAACGTATCCATAATCAGATTCAGCCACAAAAGCTGAACTGCAGTAAGCACAGAGTCTTCACTGTCACTTGCAACCGCAGACACAAACGTCACAATCACTGCCACAATATTCACCGTAAACTGGAACTGCAGGAATTTTCGCACAGCATCATTAACACAGCGTCCCCACATGATCGCACTGACGATGCTGGAGAAATTATCGTCGAGAAGAATAATGTCGCTGGCTTCCTTCGCCACCTCTGAGCCAGCAAGACCCATGGAGAATCCCACATTGGCCGATTTCAATGCCGGACCGTCGTTGGTTCCATCGCCTGTGACGGCTACGATTTCCCCTAGACTTTTCAGCTTGTCGATCAGTCGCTTTTTATCTTCCGGGCTGGACCTGGCCAGTACTTGCAAACGAGGTACAAGCTCCGTGAGATCATGATCATCTAATCGTCGGAACGCTGGACCCTCAATCACTACACCGCCAGGCGTAAACATACCGCACTGTGCGGCGATGGATTTGGCGGTGATCATGTTATCTCCCGTACACATCTTGACCTGAACACCTGCACTGCGACAGTCACGGACTGCATCTGCGACTCCGGGACGCAAAGGGTCTTCGATCGCTGTGACGGCTAGCAGTGTCAAGTCTTGAGCCAGGAAATCGTAATCCACTTCGCCATCTTCGTTTCGAGTTCCGCTCGGAGGCGGCCAAGAAGCAAAGTCTCGGTAGCACAGAGAAATGGTGCGTAGCGATTGCGAGGCATAATTTGTGATCAAGCTGCTGAGTTGTTCATGCAAAGCATCATCAATGGGCCGTGTATCGATCTTGGCTTCTGTGCCGGAGGCGATTGAGGCGACTACCTGAGTACTGTGACTCAATAATACCTCGCTCGCACCTTTTACAAGGAAGCGGTAGCCATCGGACGTCTTGATCACTGCACCCATTGCCTTGCGCTTAGAACCGAAAGGAATCACTTGGACAACCTCGGCTTCTTTGCGGATTGCTGCGTAATCTCCCCATTGCTGCTTGGCAACCATCCCCAACAAAGCGGTTTCTGTCTTGCTTCCGATGAACTTGGAATCATCCGAGTTTTGCTCGGCCTTTTGAGCAGTTGGCTTATCTCGGGAAAACAATTTAACATACCAGGGCTTGGGTACTGGAGACTCTTCAGCTTCGACTGGGTCTCGACGATCGGGAATGAAAGCTGTGGAATTAATACAGATTGAATCGGTCAACAGTTTTCTAAGTGGTTCGGAGATAGTTTGAGTGATGTTGTCCATGTCGATGAGGGAGTCAGAAGCTTGTGCATTCTGCACCTCAAACTTAACTCGGTCTTGAAATTCGAGTTTGTCACCAATGCAACCGGCAACGACATTCATCTTATTTTGCGTAAGAGTCCCAGTCTTGTCAGTGCAAACGCATGTTGCGTTGGCCATCGTTTCACACGAGCCCAGAATACGCACGAGCAGATTCTGATTCGACATTCGTCGGGTGGCAAATGCCAGTGCCAAGGTCACTGCTAGCGGCAATCCCTCGGGAACAGCAACAACAATGATGGTGACAGAGATGATCAATACATTAATGAATCTTTGACCATACCGGCTGCCTTGCTCTGCAGTGATTTTCGGTGTGCTGTCGTTCATATCCAAGCCTAATTTAACGAAGAAACGGATCATCAGTGCGATGAACAGCACTAAACCAGCGGTTGTTCCAAGTTTAGCGATAAGTTCTGCCATATTATTCAATTTACGTTGCAATGGCGTATTCTCCGGCTCGTCACGTAAGGACATCATTAGCTTTCCATTGAAACTCATAGGCCCAACCGCTGTCACCACGAATCGACCGACACCTTCCAGAACTTTGGATCCAGAAACCATGAAACAGCTCTTGCGTTTGAGCGGACCATTGGTCTCTTCAGCATCACGGATATATTCTTTGTACGGCAATTTGTTTATCATATCAGATTCTCCCGTTACGCTCGACTCATCACACTTGATGTTGTGGCCGTCTAAAACCACACCGTCAAATGCCACCACCTCGCCAGGCTCAAAAAAGACAATATCACCTACTAGCACATCATGAACGTCAATTTGATGTTTGGAACCATTACGCAAAACTGTGACATCACGCTGTTCCTTCTTAGCATCCAGTGAACGGAATTGACGTTCTTTTTGCCAGTCGTTCAAAGAGCCTACCAAGTCCACAATCACCACCGCAACCAGAATCGCCAGCCCTTCTACCCAATCTACCTTGGGTGGGTCACATCGATCTTGGCCCGCTGGCGGGTGGGCACAAGCGACTTTCTCAGGACCATTGGGTCCCAAGTCCGTATACAGGCCGAGTGCCAATGAGACGATTGCAGCAACAATAAGCAAAATCAAAATACGATCTTGCAAAGCAAGCCACATCAACGTCAATAAACTCTTTGATTTACGTTCCGGCAGTACATTTCGTCCATATACACGTTCGCGGTCACGGACGCTAGGTGGCGAGCTAGATTCCATACGAGTCTTGGAAGTAGTTCCGTCGTCAGTCAGTCCATTCTCTTGGTCTGTGCCGAGCCCTTTCATCAGACCATCAAGACCACCCATGGCCCTCAGCTCTTCGACGTTTTCGGGGTCAATCAAGGAACACAGCTGCCCCGCTTTGAAACGAAACGGTGCAGGATCCGCCCAGAGCTTTGTTTCTAGCTCCTTTTGCAGCCGCCGTTGTTCAAGTGGTTCAGAATCTCCACGGAGCCAATACCGGATGGTATTCCACATGCCTGATTTCGGCGGGCCATCCATATTGCGCGAGGTGAGCGTCGTACCGGCGCGCACTAAGTGGCTACCGGACATGTCCGTCCCTGCTGTATCTTTGCGTACAGGACGTGGCACTGACTCTCTCCGTGCGGCTGCAGTGCGAGAGGGATCAGCGGCAGAGGTTTCAGAGCTGAAATTGCCTCGCTGGCCCCCTGATACTTCTGGCTGATGAGCATCGACAGGGAAGGCTCTGTCAGTTTCTCCTTGAAACCCAATTCCCTGGCTGTGCTGTTGATCAGCAACGGGCAAAGGTATTGTGCTAGTGATGGGAGGGGCTAATGTAGCATGGTTCGATGCATTTGCATCTGAAGGATCCATGTCGTAACCTCTAGTGAGCGACAAGAATCAATTCTTTAGAGACAAGCAAATATTTGATATGTAACTGGGTCCCAGACTGAATCCGATACCTTTTTCTACAGCGATAAACGCTGGCGGATGTTGCAAACGGCTGCTGTCGTCCAAGGAAACAACTTGCCGTCGTGACAACTTGACCCGCAACTCACGTGATCAACGAATGCCTTGGCTCTCTAAGGCCAGGGCTGCGGGCGGGAGTCAAGAGGCTTGGCAGAGAAAGGCGCAATTGCTGGTTTAGTGCACAGCCGGCATAGTATAGACCAAAGATTGAATTAGTACCCCAGACTACGGAAGATACCTAAATAGAATTGTTAGCGTGCTGCCATAACAAAACTTATAACGTACCTAGCCATCCGCGCCCGCCCCATTGTATCCATTGGCCTAGGCGTTCTGAAGCGTCCTGCGCTGTATCATAGAACGTAGCTGTATGTGCAATACGATCTAGTAGCGCATTACATTGCTCCAAGCTAATTTCTGGTTGGGTCGCGAGCACTAGTTCTGTTGCAATTCAGCTCATAGAAACTTACCAGCGGATCCATATGCCTGTGCGAGGCGAGAGCGCGTCGCATACCATTCGGTCTGATGGTCTTAGTGAGAAACACTTACACCGTGATTGCCATGCATTCCAGCTGCATAACAAGCTTGCTCGACAATACACCCTGCTCGTCGAGCAAGAGGAAGAGGAGTAGGCACCGCTCCTGTCCATAATGAGCTAGAGTTACCGGATCGCTTATGTGAAAGC